GAAAGATGAGCTTTCAACTTAAAAGGGAAGTTCCACCCTGTCCTCTAGGGATGCAGTGAGTTGCGTTGAACTGAACTGAGAGCCTCACAAGCAAGAAGTCAAAGAAATAAAAATCTGACCTCAATGTCACCATCACTACCTTCTGATCTCTTGACGCATCCACCCTTGAACCCAAACCAGCTGCAGCAATGAGAAACCATATTGCTGTAAAGTGTAAAGGGGAGATGGGTACATGTGAAGCAGATGTATGCCATCTGGCACAGAATGAAATCAAAATAACCCTTAGACTTTAGGCATGAGCAATAGGAGGATTAAATATGATAGATTTCTCTTCAATCATTATTTCCCTGACGCAAAGGCACACAACAACACTGCGGCATACAAACCCAAACCCACTGTGTTGATGCCAACTCATAGTGACCCGATAAAGGGTTTCTGAGACTATAAATCTTTCTCCCCAAAGAGCTGGTGGGTTTGAACCACTGACCTTGCAGTTAGCACCCAAGCACCTAACTCACAAGGAGGCTTGGCTATCCAAGAGATGTCAAATAGGCAGTTGACTTAATTCTGACTCTTAGTGGCTGATTTTTTTTTTCAAAGTGTATTACCAGGTCTTTCTTCCAGGTTGCCTTGGGTGACCTAACCTTCCAGCCATTCTGATAGCAGCCCAGTGAATAGCCACTTCCATCTTCCAGGGCTCGTATCTGTATATAGAGTCAAGTCTAACCCATAGCAACATCTTAGCACTCTATGCTCAAATACTTAACTGTTAATACCTCATTAAAATTTAACTACACTACTATAAGTCAAAGGGAACTAATTAATCAAATGAATAACTTCTGCTAATAAACCAGCTCATAGGAGTCTGTCTGCTCCCAAAATCAAATGTTTAAAAGACACTTTTGAAAAGGGCTTGAGTAATTACTCAGATCACATAAAATCCAGATAAAACACCCTGACCTACCATGATCTTCAGCCTTGGAAAATGACGCTGTTTGACTCACAAACAGATTTTGCTTTTATCACATTTTGCTCATCTACATTTTCTTGCACACTACTTCCATTTTCTAAAATAAATACACGATTGAGTGAACATTTTCAACCAGAAAATAAGCTTTAAGTCTGCAACATTCTTGCTCAGAAAACGTCGCTTGGAAAAGGAAGGGTTTGGGAAGCTTGCGTTGATGAGGAATAGCTCACCCTTGTGAAAAAGTCAAGAATATTTGAGGATGCGTGAAAACCAGAGCCCAAGGAGGACTCACCCAAGTATATCAGTCTTCTTCATTCTGTTCACTTCATTGCTGACAAGTTGTCTGGGATTTTTATCAAAAGACATTATCCCCACACCAGACGACAGGTCTAACTGTTGCCATAGAAAAGAATTGGTACCGAAGCACCCAAGTCTACTGGAAGGGATTTACTCTGAAGATTTGTATCCAATTTAGCATCTGTGAATAGTGGTTAACAGTCTGTGTGATTTATTCCCCCAAGAAAAGGTTCCTAGATGTAATAGCTTATCCAGGAGTCCAAGGTAAATGAAAGATGGTAGCAACTGATGTTGAAACGACAAATGTTTCCAAGAGGCGGGCCTCACCCTGGCCTGTCTCATAGAATTCCTAGGAACCTGTCCTCCCCACAGTCTTGGTATCAGTGGAGAGACACCCTGCATCCAATGGCAGAGGTCTTACAATCACACTAGGCCCAGATTAATAAGAAATATGAGTACATAAGGATTTGAACATTGACCCAACAGAAAGCATAATAGGAGTGATCAAAGAAATGATAGACTAATACTTGGCTAAAAGTGGTGGTAGAAATGATTTTTATATGGCCAAGTGAAAGCAAACCAATGTATATGGTGTGATGACCAAGACACTCAATTAGAGCCAAGACTAACTTACCTCTTCAATTATTTTAGACTGCTAGACATTTTTTTATATTACTACTATGAGCATGGGGTCACCATGGGTCCAAATCAACTTGCTGGCAACCAAGGGCAATTATATATATATATATATATAATTTTATCTATTGGTTATTAAATACTATTACGTAAAGGATAAGCATTGTAGTTAAGATGGGTGGTATCTGATTAAGTGCTTCTTTAGTCCCAATTTCTATCACTATGTTTAGCATCAAGATACTTAAATTGATTTCCTACTTTCATCTAGGGAAAGGAGTTTTGAGGTTAGCTTGTCAATTAACATGTTTAGAAAACCTGAGTAAAAGTTGAGGGATATTTATATCAGGGTTCAAAACTCCCTGACAGTTGATCTGCCAATATCATTCAGAACAATGTATAAATGTTCAATGATAGTTTTGTGTCATCTTAATACAAATTCATTGTTTTTGACCCACACAGCATTCTGAGCAACGAAAACCATCCAGGGGCCTATGAACTTCACCTCTCCGTGAAGGATTATTGCTTTGCCCGTGAAGATCGAATTATAGGAATGACAGTCATTCAGCTTCAGAACATAGCTGACAAGGGAAGTTATGGAGCCTGGTACCCCCTCTTAAAAAATGTCTCCATGGACGAAACTGGTTTGACAATCCTCAGAATCCTCTCTCAGCGGAGCAGCGATGATGTAGCGAAGGAATTCGTGAGACTGAAATCCGAAACGAGATCTCCGGACGAGACTGCTTGAAGTGAATTCCACAAGCCATCCGCTTTGTGAATTCCTAAACTATCATCGTCTGACCACTGCATGCATGTGCAAATACGTGGGAATGTTCGTTTTACTACGTTTCAGTGTTTGCCAGGACTGAAGTACAACGTCTACACGGGATGTGGGAAACCTGATGGGCTTTTCTACTAATTCTGGGCTTTGGGGAGTCAACGTTCCATGAAGTGCCAAAATAATGATGTAAAGTAAAACTACCCCCTCCCCCCTCAAGAAAAAAAAGTCTTCTAAGGCATTGATTTCATTTCAGTCTCAGTTTCTCATCTATTACAGATTCCATCTTCGGAGTTGTCCGCTAGTTGCCTATCTTAAATCAGTTTGTATTTTCCATAGAGCATACACATTGGTTACGCAAATTGTGCATTATTTAGACTTCACTCATTGTAAAACACCCTTTTCTACCAGGACTAGACATGCAGTTCCTTCTAGAAAGCGTTTGTAATTTTATAGTTGCAGATATATTGACATACTTTTTGCGTACACATTAAAATAGAACAGGTAGGAAATATTTTCTGCAGACCAGTTTCCAACCTTTCTGATCTATCACTGTGAAGAAATGCTATTCAAGCAAACTTGTACAAAGCCCTGGTTAAGTACAGTTTGTTAACAATGTTTGCTATAGTGAGAAAATGTTGTTCTGCAAACCTGCCAAGGTCACGTCACATGTTGAGAAAAGGTACATTGATGCACTTGCCATGTGTGTCTCGGCTTTATCACTCGGCTTCATTCCTCAGAGAACCACAGGGTAAATGAGTTAGAAATGGGAGAGAAGGATTTCTTCTTAAAATTATGATAAGTGACCATTTTGTTAGTGTTTTCCCTCTGACAGTTATGACTATATTTCCTTAGCATATAAATGGGTTTTTTTTTCTCTTTTACAAATATTCAACAATTTCTACTGAATACCACAATTTCCTATATATTGCACTGGAGCAAAGTGTCATGTTGTCATCTATTTAGTGAGTCAGATAAAGAAATCACTTACAATTTTTCTGTTATTTATAAGCCCCAAGTGCATCAGATGCAATAGGAACATAATACAGCTTAGTACGTTAAAAATACACCTAATTTGGTCTTTGAATATGAACTAATCTGAGTATTGTTACTTTCTGTATTTTTATGTTTTGACTTGCTGGTGTCTGTACTTTAATACTCGGCCATATAGAAGAGTACTTTGTCATTGCAATGTATGGTCATAACTGTTAGTGGACTGCCCGCACTCAACGACAAGAAC